GTGGGGGGGTCTGCCGCAGATAACAGAGCAGAGAGGGTGAGGACGGGGGAGAAGAGCGGTGAACTTGTTTATCTGACTTATTTTATTTTATTTATTGTTTTTATCGTCCTCTGAGAGAAAATTAATTTGAAGATGAGTTTTTGAAATAAATCATTAGATTACTGTAAACCTGCAAAATGAGGGAAAAGCTGTGTAAATTACAGACATTCTGTTCACATGAGCAGCTTTCAGCACTTGTCATCCTCCAGACTCACAACGCAGCGCGTGTCTGAACCGGCCAGTCTATTTTGTTGACGTTGATCAGCTGACTGATTTAAATACATCTTAACATTCATGAGGTACTTTACATTGACTGTTTATGGTTGAATGTGGGCATGTAGAACCTGAGGTGGGACCTTGTGCGCAAATTATGAGGCACAGCTGTGATCTATGAAGGGAAAATGCGGTGAAACACGCAAGGTTTTGTAAATCTGAATTATTTTTGGCGTACGCAATTTTCGTCTTTTGGCCGTACGTTCATTTTTAGTATGGTTTCCATGCAATCCTTTATAAATCTGACCCCTGATCAGTGCTGCAGTGCTGCAGGAAGACAGGTTCCTGCAGGACCACAGCCAGTTCTCTGAAGCAGCACTGAAGCACCTTCTCAGAGACTGTGACTCTGCTGAAGATTCTCATCACATCTCCTCTGACCACAGCTGAATCTGAGAGGAGCTTCTCAACACTGAAGACAATCCAGACTTTCCTCAGGTACAACATCACATCTCACTGCACTGACCATGCTCTATGGAGAAGAACCTTGTTAGAACATCCCTGACTTTAACTAGTCATGAAGAAATTTACTTCTCAATAACAGAAGAGAAAACAATTATGTATTAAAAGTAAAACACTACATGACATTGTAATGCTGTTTTATTTTCATTTATTTAATAAATACACTGCCATTAAACAACTTAGTACATGTGTGATTACTTTTTGAGATATGTCTATTTTGGAGTTGTAGCCCCCTGGAGAAAAAAAGCCACCAGCCGCCACTGAGAACAAGTATGTAGGTTGTCAATATGTCCCTCCTCTAGCCCCACCTTGTGCTTTCACAGAGTCATTATCTAATTGGATATTTTACAAGCTGATTCTAAGTTCATAAATACCAGGTCAAGTCTTTAATTTGCATTACTTTTCGAAAGCCTTAACCAGCTAGTTTTGCTTATTGAGTTAACAGTATGCTAACGCATTGGTGGCCTGAGAAGGTTTGCACACTTTTACAGCTTATGTTTATGGTATCTTTTTCCCAACAAGAGGAGTCATTGTGCAGACAGAGGGGAGATCCTGAGATCCCTCAGCTATCAAAGGAAGGGGATGTTATGTTGGCGGGAATATTCTACTTTCACAGCAGCTGGATAAACAGAGAGAACACTTATACACAAAAGCCCCTGCCACTAGAATGTGTCAGGTAAAGTATACTAAAATCCTATGTTGCTTATCTTGCCTCACATTTTTTATATTAGTTTTAAATTCTACTAATTTATTTAATTCAAAACAAAATTATGTCAATATAAAGTATATTGTTTTCAATTATTTATATTTTTCAATGAAGTTTGAATTTCAGAGAGTTCCAGTTTGCTCAGGCCATGCGTTTTGCCATTGAGGAAATTAATGAGAGTCCAGACCTACTTCCAGGCATTTCTCTTGGATATAATATTTATGACACTTGTAGATCCAATGCCAGAAGCGTAAAGGTGGTCCTGGCTTTGAACAATGTTAACAACAATGTGTCTTCAACCTCAAAGGAGTTTTGTCATAGACGTGCACAAGTGCAGGCTATCGTGGGAGAAAGCTCTTCTTCTCCATGCACAGCAATAGCTACTGTTCTTGGACCTTTTCATGTTCCATTGGTGAGTAGAATAGGATGAAATCGAACAGGGATTTTGCAAAAAGATAATTTCTTCATTTATTTGTTTATTTATTTATTAGTTTTGCATGTAAGAACTAATATTACTTTTGTAAAAGTGTCATATTTCATTTCAGATGGCTAAAGCAAACTGAATTTTTTTGTATCTTTCATATTATACAAATTTCTCTTTGTCGTGTTTTTTAAAAGTTGTTATTGATAAAGATTTTGTTGTTCCAGATCAGCCATTTTGCTACATGCACTTGTCTCAGTGATAAATCAAAGTATCCATCCTTTCTCAGAACCATACCCAGTGACTATTATCAGAGCAGAGCTCTGGCTCAGTTGGTTAAACACTTTGGATGGACTTGGGTTGGTGCTGTTAGAACCAATGATGATTATGGCAACAATGGCATGGCAACATTCACAGAAACTGCAGAGCAGCTGGGCATCTGTCTGGAATATTCTGTTTCTTTCTTTAGAACAGATTCATCAGAAAATTTGCAAAAGCTAATTGACATTATCAGGACTTCAACTTCAAAGATTATTGTTGCTTTTCTCTCTCCCCGAGAAATGGAGATGCTTTTACATGAATTGTCCAATCACAACCTGACAGGGTATCAGTGGGTCGGCAGTGAGTCGTGGATCTTTGATTCTCAAATCGCAGCAATGGATCAAAATCACATCCTTGATGGAGCTATAGGACTTTCTATCCCTAAAGCACATGTCAGTGGTCTGAAAGAGTTCATGCTGGATGTGAAGCCACTCAATTCATCAAATAATGACTTATTTACAGAATTCTATGAGGCACTGTTTGGCTGCAAATTCAAGCAGTCACAATCAAAAGATATGGCAGAATGCACAGGACATGAGGACCTGACTGGAAAGGAAAACAGCTTCACTGACATGTCCCTCATGCCCATTTTTAACAATATATACAAAGGGGTGTATGTAGTGGCCCATGCTCTGCACAATATTTTCAAGTGTCATGAAACATGCAACAAGAGCATACAGCTTGATCCATTCACAGTGAGTTTAAAAACATCAGTAATTAAATAATTTGTATCATAAACCAACTGTAAAATGTTTTTTTTAGTTATTTAAATTGCCTTAGATTTTGCAGCATATTCAACATGTTCACTTCAAGACAAAAGAAGGAGAAGAAGTGTACTTTAATAAAAATGGAGATCCAGCAGCAAAATATGAGATTATAAACTGGCAGGCAAAAGAAAATGGAAATGTGGAATTTGTCACTGTTGGGCTTTATGATGCATCATTATCAGCAGACAAACAGCTAAATCTGCAAAATAACTCTTTCATTTGGGCAACAAGATCAAAACAGGTTAAAAAAAACTTTGAATAAAGAATATATTTGCATTATTAGAAAACTCAACCTTTTTTATACACATGTTTAGTAGATGTACAGTAATTTTTTCTTATTCATTTTTTATGCAGGTGCCTGTTTCATTGTGCAGTGAGAAGTGTCTGCCAGGAATGCAAAAAGTTTCGCAAAAAGGAAAACCTATTTGCTGCTATGACTGCTTAAAATGTGCAGAGGGAGAAATTAGCAATGTTACAGGTTAGAAAATATTTAATGGAAGCTTATGAAGCAATCATTTCACAGGTATTATGTTTTTGAGGTTTTCTTTGTTGTAGTAGCAACTGAAGTACAAAAGCCTTGTTATTGTGAGATTGTCATATCTTATTTTTCAAAAAGCAATCCAACAAATGTCACAAGACGTAGGTTTATTTTTGTATCAATAAATACTGTTTTTAAAGAAAGCAACTTTCATCGCAAATAACTTATCACATGTTTACTTATTGTGGATGAACAAATATATTTTATAGACAGTGTTATATCATGTTTAACCCATGGCTATATACGGTTTTAGTCTATAAATCAAAAAACAGTTTTAGACTTCGTAAACAATCCTATTCTGTGATTTTAATTAAGATATCTGACATAGCAACCTCGTTTCCAATCAAAGAAAAGAGAAGGTGTATTTTTTTCTTCAGTATAAGCACATTAATACACTGCACATATTAAAAATAAATATCTTAGACTTTTTCCATGTTTAAGGAACTTTTGAGTGTACTGAAGAACAAGTTTACTAAAACTAAAGTTTCACGTTGATTTGCAGATTGTGTAACTTGTGTAAGATGTCCCTTTGAATCCTGGTCAAATGAGAGAAGAGATGCCTGTGTACCAAAAACAGTTGAGTTTCTGTCACACAAAGAAGTTCTAGGAATACTGCTCACCACAGCCTCTTTATTTGGAACATGTATGACGGCTGCTGTAGCTGTCATTTTCTTCAGACACAGGACAACTCCTCTTGTCAGAGCAAACAACTCTGAGCTGAGCTTCCTGCTGCTTTTCTCCTTGACTCTGTGTTTTCTCTGCTCTCTGACCTTCATTGGACGTCCCTCTGAGTGGTCCTGTATGCTCCGTCACACAGCTTTTGGCATCACCTTCGTCCTCTGCATCTCCTGTGTTCTGGGGAAAACAATAGTCGTTTTAATGGCCTTTAAAGCTACTCTTCCAGGCAGTAATGTGATGAAACTATTTGGGCCTACACAGCAGAGACTCAGTGTTCTGAGTTTAACTTTTGTACAAGTCATCATCTGTATTCTCTGGTTGACAATATCTCCTCCTTTTCCATCTAAGAACTTTAAGGCCTTTAAAGATAAAATTGTCTTGGAGTGTGCTCTGGGTTCAGCTGTAGGTTTCTGGTCTGTACTTGGGTACATTGGACTACTTGCCGTTTTGTGTTTTGTTTTTGCTTTTCTGGCTCGAAAACTACCTGATAATTTCAACGAAGCAAAATTTATCACCTTCAGCATGTTGATATTCTGTGCTGTATGGATCACTTTTATCCCAGCGTATGTCAGCTCTCCTGGAAAATTTAGTGTTGCTGTAGAAATMTTTGCCATTCTTGCTTCTAGTTTTGGACTGCTGATTTGTATCTTCATCCCAAAGTGTTATATTATGATATTAAAACMAGAAAGAAACACAAAAAAGAATATGATGGGAAAGACAGCATCAAAATCATTTTGAAAAACAACACAAATCTGTATACAGGTGCTGGTCATAAAATTAGAATATCATGAAAAAGTAGATTTATTTCAGTAATTCCATTTAAAAAGTGAAACTTGTATATTATATTCATACATTACATACAAACTCATATATTTCAAATGTTTATTTCATTTAATTTTGATGATTACAAATGACAACAAATGAAAATCTCAAATTCAGCATATCAGAAAATTAGAATCTTGTGAAAAGGTTCAAAATGGATGGCACCTGGTACCACACTCTAATCAGCTAATGAACTCAAACCACCTGCAAAGGCCTTTAAATGGTCTTTCAGTCTAGTTCTATAGGCTACACAATCATGGGGAAGACTGCTGACTTGACAGTTGTCCAAAAGACGACCATCGACACCTTGCACAAGGAGGGCAAGACACAAAAGGTCATCGCTAAAGAGGCTGGCTGTTCACAGAGCTCTGTGTCCAAGCACATTAATAGAGAGGCGAAGGGAAGGAAAAGATGTGGTCGAAAAAAATGTACAAGCAAGAGAGATAACCGCACCCTGGAGAGGATTGTGAAACAAAACCCATTCAAAAATGTGGGGGAGATTCACAAAGAGTGGACTGCAGCTGGAGTGAGTGCTTCAACAACCACCACACACAGACGTATGAAAGACATGGGTTTCTGCTGTCGCATTCCTTGTGTCAAGCCACTCTTGAACCACAGACAGCGTCAGAAGCGTCTTGCCTGRGCTACAGAGAAACAGGACTGGACTGCTGGTGAGTGGTCCAAAGACATGTTCTCTGATGAAAGTAAATTTTGCATTTCCTTTGGAAATCAAGGTCCCAGAGTCTGGAGGAAAAGAAGAGAGGCACTTCATCCACGTTGCTTGAAGTCCAGTGTAAAGTTTCCACAGTCAGTGATGGTTTGGGGTGCCATGTCATCTGCTGGTGTTGGTCCATTGTGTTTTCTGAGGTCCAGGGTCAACGCAGCCACATACCAGGAAGTTTTAGAGCACTTCATGCTTCCTGCTGCTGACCAACTTTTTGGAGATGCAGATTTCATTTTCCAACAGGACTTGGCACCTGCACACAGTGCCAAAGCTACCAGTACCTGGTTGAAGGACCATGGTATCCCTGTTCTTAATTGGCCAGCAAACTCTCCTGACCTTAACCCCATAGAAAATCTATGGGGTATTGTGAAGAAGAAGATGCAATACACCAGACCCAACAATTCAGAAGAGCTAAAAGCCACTATTAGAGCAACCTGGGCTATCATAACACCTGAGCAGCGCCACAGACTGATCGACTCCATGCCACGCCGCATTGCTGCAGTAATACAGGCCAAAGGAGCCCCAACTAAATACTGAGTGCTGTACATGCTCATACTTTTCATGTTCATACTTTTCAGTTGGCCAACATTTCTATAAAYCCTTTGTTTTTATTGGTCTTCAGTAATATTCTAATTTTCTGATATGCTGAATTTGAGATTTTCATTTGTTGTCATTTGTAATCATCAAAATTAAACGAAATAAACATTTGAAATATATGAGTTTGTATGTAATGGATGAATATAATATACAAGTTTCACTTTTTAAATGGAATTACTGAAATAAATCTACTTTTTCATGATATTCTAATTTTATGACCAGCACTTGTATAGTAAATGTTTATGGAGGAACTTTTTAAGCATCGTTATAAATAAAAGAAACTATCACTTTCACTCATGTTAATGAATCCAGAAAAAAAATTGTAAAAACATATATTGGGGAAGGGGTAAAAAACACAACTAATAAAGAAATGCCATCATATATTTGACAATATGAAGTATTAACCACTTTTTTACACATTTTGTGTTTCCTTCTTGTAAAAATAAACTGATTTGAAGTCATTTATTGCAGTGTTTTTTAATCCTCTTCCTTGAATGCCACTAGGCTGGATTGAAGCTGAGACGGGACGTTTTCCATATATAATTGTCTTCCTGTTTTTTTTCCCCACGTGGAAATAATGATGAGTATAATGATGAGTGTTTTCTTGAGCTAATGTGTTAATTTCCCAATGGTTTTCTCAAGATATCAATGGTTTTGCTCTTGGACCCCATGAAGGCAGCCTGTTTTATTTTATTAGAAGGATCACATACGTCTAAATGCATGTTTAGCTTTAGTTGGGCCAGCTGTCTCCTTAAATGGTGAGTGGTGATATGAAAGTTATCTGTGCTGACAAGATTAGCAGGAATAAACCCAGGTTGCAGGCAGGCTCCAAAAACAGAACAAAAAGGTTTATTAAATAACTGAAAAAAACTGCTGAAGAGGCAGCTCAAACTTACAAGTTTCACGAGGATTACAAGCAGGGGGAACATAATACAATGAACCGACACAAGACTGAGACAGGAAAGGACTTAAATACACTGACAACTAATGAATGAACTGAAAACACCTGGTAAGAAACACGAGGGTGACAATCAGACTAATGAGGGGCAGCTGGGCTGAGATACACAGGG